ATTAACATAATCAAAATAGAAAAAACTTCAATCAAATAAATAAAAGCATTGAGTGGTTGAATATATAAATAAAGATGTTAAATAAATATACATTTAAATCAAAAGAAAAAACTAACATTCGTCAAGTTTGCTAAAGCAAAAAAACCCATATCCATTTTATGAATCTTTTTTCTTCATTTAACACCATTCAACCATGGAAATTTGATAATAATTTTTCACTAACCTGCAATCAAAATATTTTTTCTTGAAAAAGAAAAATCACATATAAAGATTAAATGAGAAACTTAATATAAAGAAATAATAGAAAAACTTCATTTGTTTTGGTTAAAAGAAAAAATCATATTACAATTACCATCGATGCGAGATAACCCATTTCTTCAAATAATCATATTTGGATCGTAAATGCTTCAACTATATGAAAACTTTTGAATCACAATATCTTCAAATTCTTCTTACATGTAAGATTTTATATAACACAAAAGACACAAAAGATTGGTATTTTTATAGTAACTTTTCACTAAATGCTAATTAAACTTAATATATGTTAAAAAACTTTTGAGCGTTAAATCATAATTAAGAAAACTTTTGAGTTGCATTAGTTAAAAAATAAGATTTCAAATGAATGTGGTTTGAGAAAGATAAAAAATAAGGTTTCAAGTGCATGAGATTCAAAAAAAAAATATAAGCTTACGTAAGTGTAATAGAAACTCACCCAACAATCAAAGCATCTTATCAGGTCATGGTTGTAAAGCATTTCATCACAAAGTTGTCCCCACATATAAAAGAAAAAAATAAAATGTCAAATTACAGTATCATGATTGATGGCACACATGTAACGTAACAGAAAATTTTTCACTTTCAAGACTTCTCCCTGCAACTTTAGATCAACTTAAACTTTAATGAAGCAAAAGGAAAAACTAAATCAACAATATCCACGTGAAATCAATCAATCACAAACAAGTTTGTGGAATTTGTGGTAGTTTGCAAAAAAGAAAAATGAAAATTCAATGGCAAATAAAGAAATAAAGTGTAACATGTTAGAGTCAACCTAAACCAACCCATCTTATATATGTGTGCGTGTTTTGTCTCTTATTACTCAATCATATTTGATTAACTTGAGCTATTACTTGTCATTGACAGAATCAATGAGGAATTATGTGTAGTTTGGATTAGAGGTGCACAAAAGTAGGATCCTGTAATACTATCGGATGTTAAAAATCCAATTCCATGTAGATTATATATAAATTTTTCATCCATATTCTTTGATTTTATTAACACTATTAGAATAAAATTTGTTTGTAATTATATATGATAATTGTTCTAAACTATTAAAAAACAGTTATCAATAATAAATAGTTAGAAGTTAATCTGCAACACTTATCTTATTCCAATTATTCAACATCATATAATCAATTCTAAAATACATATCCAAACACCCTGAATAATACATTAATTAAAAAAAAAAAAAATTCAGACTCGTTTACACTAAATTGCATCCTCTCAACTGACCATGACCACAATACCCAAAAATACAAAAAAATAAGGACTTGAATTCAAAACTTGGGATATAGCAAAAACCGCATTGTACAGCTCAGCATCTAAATTGAGTTTAACGATTGTTGTTTCTGCTTTTGTTAGTGTATAAATTACCTCCAACAATATTTGAAAAGTCAAAAGTCAACGGGAGAGTATGAACTCCTGTAACTTTGAGATGGACCTCTAAATTTCCGAACCAATGACATATATGAATTCTGTAAAAACATTATAAAACAATTAATAACATACAAAAATATAAACTTTTGAATTAAATTTATATTGAAAATCAAATATGTATACCCGAATTCTATGCGGCAAGCTGGCCCAAAATTCCAAGTTCGGAATAATCTGAAAAAAAAAAAAAATTTAAAATAAATAAATAGCAAATCAAACGACAATCTACAACTAAGACATCTGTTTTTTTTCTTCCGGAAGGTTCCGGAAACTTACATCTATACCACGGATGCCGAGATAAAAGTAGCGATAAGCAGCTCCAGCTATAAAATAAGCTCCAAAAAGACACAAAAGTCTGAAGAAAAAAAAGAATATTCAGAAAAGGGCAATATGGGTATTTGTCGACAAGTTTATGGTTTGATGATTATTACATGATTAAGAGTGTGCCAAACCATCCCAATCCACTGCCAGGGGCGGACAAAACATTGGCACAGCCAGCTGGATGTGTTATTTGTGTAACCTACAGAAAAAGGGTAATTTAGTCATTTACTTGGAACAGGGACCAAAAGTATTAAAATCAGGTAAACTTAGGACCAAAAATGTAATTTACTCACAAAGTTACAAACCCCGACTCTCTCAAGTGTCTTAGGTCCCTGAAACAGAATAGAATAATTTTAGTTGTTATTTAGAAAAATAAGAATGAAAAAAAAAGGAAAAAGAAAACATTTTCTCACTTGAACTTGCTTTGAATCACAGATAACAGAAACAGAAAGCGAACAATTCCTTTCTGATCCTTGGTGCCACGTTTTTACAACTATACCCCTGTCTGGATTCTCTTTATCTGCCATTTTTATAACCCCAAGATAGTTGATATAAACGTCAGAAATTACTTTACTTACAAAAAAAAAAAAAAATTACCAATGAGATCGGTGGTGATGGTTTGGGTGCGCCCAATACTAGTGCATACAGGATAACCTGCATATGTTTTAGAAGCAACTTTTATAAATTGTTACAAACTCAAAGATGTTAATTATAATTAGATGATGATGATAAAAAAAAACAAATTAATAATATATTTTATAAAAGTTTCCTCAAGAATATTACCTAATTTGATCTCGGACATAAGCGCACTGCACCCCATCCCACATCGAGATGTTCCCCCACAATCCTATAAAAATGAAATTCCAATCATCATGTCCAAAATTATAGGATTCTAATGATTTAAATATTTTCCTCATAACAAGAATAAGATCTTTCATTCATATCGTTAATAACTGTAGCAGAAGAGACTCACCCAGCAATCAAAACATCTTGGGGGATCATGGTTGAAAATCATTCCATCACAAAGCTGCCCCCACAAAGGAAAGAAGAAAGATAAGATGTCAGCTTAGAGTAGCATGGCTGATGGCAAACATGTAATATAATATAATAACTGTGTCCACTTAAAAAATATTCACTTTTAGGACTTCTCCCTACAACTTTTTAGATCGACTTAAACTTCAATGAAGCAAAAGGAAAAACTTAAACAGCAATACCCACGTGAAATCAAAGATAAGTATGTTTGTGGAATTTGCTGTAATTTGCAAAAGAAAGGGGAAAGGAAAAGGAAAATTCAATGGTGAATAATGAAATAAACTGTAACCTGTTAGAGACAACCTGAAACCAAACCACCGTTCCATTAGATGACACCTTGTAATATCTGATGCAAATTAATTGAAGATATTGTTAGCCGATTGTTCTATGTCATTATTTATGTTTTACATGAAAGATTTATACCAAGAAATCAATTTATCTAAGCATTCATCCCTAACTATGCTCTGTTTTTAGCCGCCTAAGCAATCAAATTAATTAATCACCTAACTCTTGCCACCTAATTTTCCACTATCACTTAACCATATCCAAACTTGAATCATCTAAGACTATACATGTCAGTTAATGAGAGAATGCACATTTCCAATGCTCTATAGCTTAATCCTAAAATCAAGCATATGAATCACATTGAATGACAACTCTACGGAAACATGTGAAGGTGTATGTACGGAGGGAAGAAGTACCCGTCTTCGCTAAGAACGCCATGAGGGAATGTTTCGGAAGGGGAAGCCAAGCTATAACTATAGAACTTGTTCTCCTGGGTAATACTGAATTCACAGATCGTAGACAGCGAATGAACTAAACCGAGTCCGTATAGAATCGATAAATTGAGAAGGTGGAGAAGAAGACTTCGTGATTGCATCTTCCAATGCTTCATTATTCTCGTTTTAGACAGAAATCCACAGCAATTTTGGGAAGATCATGGAAGATTGGAAGTGGAAAGCTTTTAGGGTTCTAAATGGTCTTTATGACCGTTGTCCTGAGCTATTTCTTTCTGCCTGAATCTACGAGGCCTCATGTCCTGATTTGTCATAATTGCTTAAAATGTAATATGGCCCAACTAACACAACCCATTAAATAGGCCCAAATATAAATGGGTTTTTTCTGTAAATATCATAATACCCTTGGGCCTTTTTTTTAAATAGGGTTTTTTTCTATTGAGTTTTCTATTAATAAAATGATTGGAGAAATAATGATATGTCTATAATTTCTTAGTTAGACTATGAATATGTCTTAATGAGACTAAGTGGTTTTTTATATGTATATTCAATCAAACATTTTTTATAATAAAGTTAATCGAGTTGAAAGAATAAATAAAGAGCAAAGAATAAATAAAGAGCAAGTATGTAAAAGTTTAGTGTTTTAATCCGGTTTTTTTAGCATAAAACATTTAGCCATTTTATATGGGTTAAATACAAACATAATTATGTATAGATGTGAATATTAGGTATTTAACTCATGCAAGAAATAATCTTAACCACAGTAGTAGATAATTGCATTTATATTTTATAAATAATATAATATAATGATTCAATATAATTACATAAAAATAAATATTGATAAAGATAACAATATGTTTTATGTTAACGGCGCAAATGAGATCATTATACAAAGACAAAACTTCAAAAATGGTCCATGTGGTTTTCGAAAATATCAAGTTTAGTCCCTAAGTTCCAAAAACCTCACAGATGGTCCCTATGATTTCAAAACTTTTAACATTTGGTCATTCCGGTTCACTCCGTTAGTTTTTTGCCGTTAAGTGAAGGGTATTTCTATCATTTCAATGCCACAGGGACCATTTATGAAGATTTGTCTTGTTTAAAAAAAACTAATTATTTAATATTAACCATTTCTTTACTCTAAAGCTTATGTATAACAAGAAAAAAAGAAGATCGGTATCAAACAAGATCCATATCTTGTTATTCGCATGATTTTCTCCTTGAACAACCTCCCATAACCATACGTGTAATCGATCCCAACGTCGGAGCCATCGCCCTAAATTTAGACCTCAACTCAGTATCATCGGAGCCACTACTGGAGCCATCAGAAACACGACCAGGACCCACTGAAAAACCCATGGATCTTCATTTACTCTACCTACGTCGCCTCTCTCTTGTCTGTACTCCTTCTTCTCCCTTCGATGTCCCTCTACTACATTGATTTCTCTCTATGTAGTTGTTTCTCTCTACCATCACCAGCTTCATCGATTTCATTTATGAACTCCTCGTCTAGCTCTTTATGAGTTGCGGTAAACACTAAGCTTTGGCCAACATCTGAACATCGACGATCGCCTCCTCCTTTCAGATACCTCTTCGTGTCAGCTACCACAACAGTACCATCAAAATCAAACGATTTGTTCCCAATGAAATCGATGGAGGAAGATCCCAAGTTGGTGAAATAAATTAAGCCTTAAAGTTTTTTATTGGTACTTGATGAAATTGATGGAGGCATAATCGATTTCATGAGTTATAGGCAGAGCTTGAATCTAGGTCACAATTTTAGATTTTGATTTGGGCTTACCAATTTAGGTCAAATTATGGTGATTTTGCTCCAATATTAGTGGTATCGGAGAAATAGAGAACGTGAGGGTGATGGGTGAGGGAGGCTATTTTAATTTTTCTAATAGGAGCAACTTATCGTATATTCCGGCGAGTTTCGACGTGACGCAGTTCGTGAACTCTAGGAATAAGGATTCGGAGAAAGAAGACCAATCTAGGGTCGGAAAATCAAGAACATTTCTATTTCAATTCCAGCAATGGTGGTGAGAATGAGTTTACTCGAGTAAGTTATGGATCAGTGGTGGGTTTTATCATCGTACCTTCTTGGTGACCTTCTTGGTGTTGAAGATCTTGCAAGAGTACGACATCTTTTAGATGATGTTGAGGCTTATATCGGGTAGAATTGTGAGAGAGACAGAACAGCAGTGGCGGTGGTTGGTGGTCTGAAAATTGTAGTGTCGATGGTAGTGCTTCTCCACCGGTAGGTAAGGGTTGAAGGAGAAAGAGTGCAGATTTGGGTTTTTTTCCCTTTGATTCTTCATCCTCTCTCTCTCTAGAGAGAGAGAGCGAGAGAGAGAGAGAGAGAGAGGTGGGACCATTTAATATTAAATAATTATTTTTTTAAATAAGACAAATCTTCATAAATGATCACTATGGTAGTGAAATGATATAAATATCCTTCACTTAACGGCTAAAAGCTAACGGAGTTAACGAAAAGAACCATTTGTTAAAAGTTTTGAAACCACAGGGACCATTTGTGACTTGATATTTTCGGAAACCACAGGGACCAATTTTTAAGTTTTGTCTTGTACAAATTATTGGGCAACACGTTAACAAAAAAATTCGATGAATGATGTGATTTGAAGTCACTTTTTGAGATATCCGAGGTAATAAATATTGATAAAGATAACAAGTATGTTTTATGTTAACGGTTAATTTTTATCTAAAATATAAACGCAATGAGATCATTGTACAAATCATTAGGCAACACGCTAACAAAAAAAATTAGATGAATGATGAGATTTGAAGTCACTTTTTGAGATATCTGAGGTTGTGTTCCACTTAGGCTGGAGGGAGTGGCCCTCGCCTCCAGCTCGCCAAGAGATGCCATCAGTTCACCAGCCCACCCCCTTAGCTTTGCTACAAGACTACCATGGTAAGTTTGCTACCTGGTTAGCGAGAAGAAAGAGAAATTGCATAAGAAAAGAAGGATCCTGATTGGCTATTGCCCTTTTGTGTTTTTATTTTTTCATCTTTTTTTTATATCAAAAGATTGGATTGGCTCTTTTTCATGTGATATTTTTCTTATTTTCTTTTTCTAAAATCCAAAGGTATATGAAGCTTAGATGGCAGGGAAAATATGATGTGTCAAGGTGCTAAGCATGTGTTAAACATGCTACCACTTCCTATAGCCTTAATGATACAAATTCACAAAAGTATATTTTTCTGGCTTGTCACACCCCAAAACCGGAACGGCGGAAACGTTCTGGGGTGGATAAAGTCATGTCAAGTATCACAACACATGCATTATAGTAATCAAAGTACAACAACCATTGCCATTAATAGTAATAGTTTTACATGGTTTACATTAAAATACATCAAAATAATACAAGTAATAATATAGGTGCAGCTTGGTACTAAACTGTCTTCGTCAAAAGCTCCGGGGATGTACCTGTCTAATGCTGATCTGAGAATACAAGTTATTTGAAAAGCAAGTATCAGCATTTTTACAAATGTTGGTGAGTTCATAAGTATTTAGTGTCATTTTATTCAAATAACTTTAATAAAAGTGGTAGTTTTAGAGTATCCATTAAATTAGTGTCTTTTCCAGAAAATCCTATATTTTCTTTAATAAAAGCAGTATTCTACCAAGACTGGACGGAGTTATGTGGTAAAAAGTAGTATTCCCTTAATCGCTATCATTATCAAAATACAGAATTTGATTCTTAAAGAAAGAAAGAGAAATCAGGGAAATAACATATGCCTCAGCAATGAAGACTGCTGACTAAGGTAAAAGGAATCATAGGCTCCAGGAGAGTATCGAACAAACGATACGCCTGGCTCAGTCTAATCAAAGGGAGATACAGACCCCAGACGGTACCAAATGAAAGGTATAGCTAGCAAGGTCTAAAAACAGAGATTACAGACCCCAGACAGTATCACATGAAAGATACAACTAGTAAGGTCTAAAACAGAGAATACAGACCCCATACAGTATCAAATGAAAGATACAGCTAGCAAGGTCCAAAAACAGTGTGACTCTGAGATGGGTTTCCAGCATACAGTGTAAAATATAGTGTAAAATGTTGGATAAGGTGTCTAAGTCCATAACTTATTTGGTATATACTTGACCTGACCGGCATGGTCCATTTCGGTTGCATCTCATCCAAACTATTATGGATAATTTTATGAGAGTTATACACATATGTTTATTAATATATTATGAGTTATAATATATTAATATGAAGTTACGTTATTTAATTAGTTTTAGTCTTAAATTAATTATGAATTAATTTAGAGATTAAAAGGAAGACTAATTAAATTATGGTCTATTTGTTTTATATAGTGTGGGCTAATACTCATTTGTTAATGGGCTAGGCTTATGTGGAAGTCCATGGATGATCCATGGAGCTTTTAACCCATGGATCCTTGGAAAGGAAAAGACATGGGTTATTAGGGTTTCACCCTAACCATGCACCCTAACCATGCACACTATATAAGCATGCTTATGGAGCATGAAATGGAGCCTAAGAGAGAAAACTAGTGAACTAGTGTGTGTGTGCATGTGTGTGGCCGATTTTATACAAGGTGTATACTCTCTCAAAGTTTTCCAAGAGTTTGTGGTGTTTGTGATTCCATTTGAGGCATTCACACTATTGGTGCTTGGCCCTCAAACTCCTTAGAACCAAACTCACCAAAAGGTATGTAATCTCTTCTAACTCTTTTATGTTGAAATGTTCCCCATGCCATGTTAGATAGGTTATAAACCTTGGAAAATTATTATTTTGCATGTATTTAGACAAACATAGATCCAAGGTTTATTAGGGTTGCATGCACACTTAGGAAGTGTTAGATTGCTCAAAACCCAACAGTGGTATCAGAGCCTAGGCTTGCTTGTTTGATACTTGATGCAAAATAGTGAAAAAAGTCGAAATCGTTGTTGTCTGCATGGTGGACTCGCCGAGTCCATTGGGGGGACTCGACGAGTCCAAGGCAAACTTCAACCTACTCGACGAGTCGTTCATGCACTCGACGAGTAGGATCGAAAGAGTGCAGATTCTCGACTTTTGCTGCTGGAAATGGACTAGAAACATTACCCTAAATTGTTTTGGTGTTATAAAACTTATTTTAGTTGGTGTAATGGTTGTTCTAATCCATTTACAATAGCATATATCAAAATTCCATGATTTTATGTGTTCATATAATTCTTGAATTTTTGATGATCATGTTCATGTTCTTATGAATTTAGAAAATGATAGGAATTATTTGCTGAATTGTTTAGGATTAATTCTTTATCATTTATGTGTTTTAATGGAGTCCATAATTTGTCCTCAAGTTATGGATTACCAAAGGTCACTTTATTTAACACACACTTAAAACACATAAGTTACATGAAAATGAAGAGTCTTCATTTTTATGAACCTTTAATTCATAAGTTATGAAATGAAGAGTTTTGCAAAGTTACAAAACTTGCCCTCAAGTTTTGGAATTTGTAAAGTTTCACACACTTTAATAAACTTTAATTCCAACCCTTAGAGTTTTAATAGTTAAAATTCAACCCTTATACTATTTATAACATTAATGGTTAATTATTATATATATATATATATATATATATATATATAAGTCGTTTTACCGTTAGTAGGCCTCATTCACGAAGCCGGTCTATAAGGTGGGTATAAGGTTGTTGCCTATAAAATGGCGACTTAATGGGTGTATACTCTCACCCACCGCTTGCTTGATCGGTGGAGGGTCGTTAGCCGAACGGGTAGAACAATGACTTTAAATCCTCATTAAAAGTATAATGAATATTATAAAATAACTAAACTCTTTTAATTCCCAATCTTAGTTATTTTAGGAAAATGTGAACATGGTGCTAGTCCATGGAATTCACACTTTGTACCTTACCAAGTCGTTGGTGGAGCGTGTGTGGTTAACCGGCACACTAACTAGGACTAGTAAGGATCACGAAGGGTGACTTAATGTTTGTCATAGATCAATGGAGCGTGTGTGGTTAACCGGCACATTGATTAGGTGATAATATTAAGAGTACCAAGTGAATTAGCATGGTTATTCACACCTTGTTTTGTGATCCTCGGCATCCCAGTCACAAAACTTGAAGGGCACAATCGAGATTGAAACATGCCATTGAAAAGTTCAATGAATCTCAAAAGAATCTAGGAATTTCAAATCCAATTAAACCTAATAAATCATTTCGTTTTCATGGTGGAAATTGGTGAATCGTCATTCACCTACCTTTCAAATATATTATTACTTAGATTACGGCATCCCTCTTCTAAGTGTAATATATTGTGATTGGATCCTAGCCTTAATATTACATTTGGGTGTCTTATTAAGGATCTATATATCTAATCTAAACTTACTCTCTTTTCAGATGTCTTCCAACACTAATGCTTCAGGCTCTAACCCAACTGGTTCTTTCTCTCTCATGAATCTTTGTGGGAGGGTCATCTTTGATGGTTCCAACTTCATGGATTGGATTAGGAACATCAGGATGGTTACTCGTTATGAGGACAAGGAATATGTCCTCGATAAGGAGTTAAAAGAACTTGATGAGTCTACTGCTACTCCTGAGGAGATCGCTGAATTCAGGACTCATGAGAGAGATGCTACTAAGGTGGCATGTATCATGATGGCCACGATGACAGCCGAGCTCCAAAAGTCGTATGAAGATTTCTACCCTTTTGAGATGCACCAAGACCTGATGGAAAG